ATACTGTTGTTAGCCTAGGTGGGCACTTACATTTATTGATAGCCTTGATGGACATATATTTTATTGTAATAAATACTACAGGAAACTAGAGAAATTGTATGTATTAATCAAGTTTGGTTAAACACTGATTAAACACTTGCTTTGCTTTCTGTCCAACTAACACAAGAATAAAAGAACTAATTTTTAACCTCTATTTGGAGTTGATTCAATCAATCATTTTATAACATACTTGGTGTAGTCGGCAGGATTCTTGGTTTGCATTTGGACAGAACATAATGGCAAGCGGATTTTTCTTGGGAAAAAGGAAAGAGAAAGAAAAGGAAAAGAAGGATAGGAGACAGACCATTTGGGTCTTACCTCCTGATAGTGAAGGACAAGCTGATTGTTATGATGATATGTTACATAATGTTCAGCAAGAAATAACTGGAACTCGGGAAGTAACAGAATTATTAGAAAGAGGGAAAAAAGAATTATTAGGAATAGTAAAAGGAGAAAAAAGTCCATTAGGAAAAATAAAGTCTACAGTGTATAAGCTTGTACAACCTATTGTCAGTAAAGAAGAGAATGAGGACAAAGTTGAGCCAGTGACTATGGTCTTTCTAGATTATGTTATGAAAGCGGCTCTAGAGGATGTTGAGGCAACCAGACACATTTTGATGATGGTGCAGGAGGAGGTTAATAGGAGAAATGAGGAATTAGAGGAAAAGGGTGTACAATATAGACAAGCTTTAGAACAAGTGCTTGAAAAAACTGAAATAGCTAGAGGAATGAAACAAACTATGTAAGAACAAACTAGACAAATACAGGAAATGAAAACAAAAATACAAAACTTAACACAGCTGACAAGTAAGATTGCGGCTGTTAAAAATAAACAGGGACGGGTTTCATGTATGAAAACACATGACCCTATAAAAAGATAAAAAATAATTATTAAAATAAAAGTATTATTACAAAATTTAAAAATATACAAAGCCCACAGAGAAACCAAGCATATCAACTACAGTGGAGCCATCTAAGCATGTCTCCGGTTATCTAATCTAACCCCTGCTTAGTACAAGTTTTCACACCAAAACTATGCAGTCTCTGTTTGAAGACCTCTAGCAAAGAGTAATATAGCACCTCATGAGGCATCTTATTTCCAAAGATGACAGGAAATGTACCATTATCTAATCATGTTGAGCAGGAATGACAAAGTCCAAAGTATCTGGAGCATCCCATTTTGCTTTCCACAAGGGTAAATTAAATGGCATCTACAAACTAGAGAGATAATTGGAACTGATCCCAATTAAAAGTTGAGCAGTCAAAAGTGCTCTTGTACAAAGTCAATATCATAATCCAGCAAGTGAATGAACAGTGTTAAAGAGAGAGATCTGGTATGGATTATCTAGATGCTCCTTGGGAGGAAAGCTATGGCAAACCTAGACAGCATATTAAAAAGCAGAGATGTCAC